TAGAGTGTCCATTGTCATGGCATCCACAATCATAATGTTTCTGTTAGCGCAAGATTCAACATCAGCTTGGTAAGGAAACGGTGGCTGTTCAATGCCATGGTCGGGTCGGTCCTGCAATCTTGCACCCAAGGCAATACCGTGCTATGGCACAATACGTAGTCAATGCTATTGAACTTGTCCGGCGTAACTGGCTCTGACGGAGTAATTCTCAAGTTTCTGAACGAAATTTGTTCTTCTAGTGGTATTTGGAAGAACGTTTTCGCCACACGCATGTCCTTCTCGATGCAGTACTCGATCAGCAGTTGTCTGTTAGATACGTGTTGCAGGATACTCTGGGCTGACCCCCCTGAGAATACAAAGTCTCCTATAATATATGTTTCCCCCAGGCCTTGCTGCAACAACTTGGCGTTGAAAGCGTCCAGAACTATAGTTGTGCTGTGGGTTGTCGTGGATTTCGTTGTTGCATGTAGCTCTGAAAAGAAATTCTGCTTGTTCTCGTAGTCGTGCCCGCTGTGGGGCGCGTAAGCGGAGATAAGATCCAAGACACCATGTCGCACTCGAAGGCTCAGTGATGCCACTCTTGGAAAGATGCCATGAAAGCTACAACTGATGCACGTGCCCATGGAGCAGTTATGAAGCCGACTCCTGCGTTAGAAGCTCGTTCTGTGTCGAGTTTCCCGGATAGGCAAATTAAGTATCCGCGCTTTTCTTCATAGTGTACGTCATGAAGGTGCTTTGTGGAAAATGAAGAACGGGAAAGCTGCAGGTCCAGATGATGTCCCGCCAGACTTTTGGACGGTTGTTTCGGACGATGCTCATGCGCGTGGGGCTCCATTGGAAATCTGCCAAGTTTGCGGGGCGACAAAGACATCCCCGACACATGGAGGAGGGCAAAAGTTGTTCTTTAAGAAAAGAAACCACGCGCTACCTAGCAACTACCCAACTATCGCTCCATGTCTTTGTTCACAGCTGGTTGCAAGACTCTGGCATCGATGCTCCACGAAAGGCTTCTGCGATCATGTGCTGAAGAACGCATGCGACCATCGCAGTTCGGTTTTTGGCCCCGGCGTGGCACGGCCGACGCTTTCTTGTTGATCAGGCGAATCATCGACGCTGCCAACGTGGACGACACCTGGGGCCTCACGATACTCTTGCTTGATTGGGCGAAGTCGTTTAGAATGCTTGTGTTCAGCGTTGCTCCGCTTTGGGATTCCTTCTCCGATGTTACACATGATCGAAGACATATACGTGGAGCGCTTCCTCACCGTAGTGGACCATTGCGGCTGGTCTACTGAAAGATGACAGACTGCTGATACAGCCCAGGGATGTCCTTTATCTCCATACTTATTCGTCCTGGCTCACCGTGTCATGTTACATGATGTACTGAACGATCCCCAGCTGCAAGATGAACCAGGAAATGTGGTTACGCGAGACCTGCTCTACGCAGATTACACGCTGCTACTTTCAAGGCATGGGGACAACTATCAAGCTCTACTTGATTCGATCGTTTTGGAAGGACGCTAATATGGTCTTGGAGCTTAACTGGGACAAAACTGTGCAAATTGCAGTGTCGTCAAACAGCGTGGTGACGAGGCCGACCGGTGAACCCATTCAAGAGGTGCAGAAGCAGTCGGCTTGGGAGGCTTGATCACACACGATGGGCGAGTGGGCAGCGAATTTGACCAGCGACTTGGCGAAGGGAAAAAATTGTCACATCAGTTATGCAAGACTTGGAAGCACGCTGCAATCAGTAAGCCGAGGGAGTAGCAAATCTACACCAGTTGCGTGTTGAGCAAGGTCTTCTACTCCTTGGACTCATTGTGGCTGTTGAAGAATGAGATCGATCAAGGCTGGGCGCTTTTCATGGCAGTTGCGTGCGAAAAATAGAGGGCGTACCTCATCCTTACTTTTCTAGAGTTTCGAATGCCACCGCGCTGACGCGTGCCAGATCCAGACCATTTTCTGAGACATTATGTGATCGCCAAGGTAAGCTATACAGGCTATTTGCTTTGCAAGCGGACGATTTCTTGGTGAAGCGGGTGGTGTGCAACGCTGATGGCACGCCCAAGGATTGGGCCTTCCGCCGGTCCAGGGGGAGACCCAGGCAGCAATGGGCGAAATTCGTATACAATCTCGATCATGTGAGTATCTGACGCCTTTTGTTCTCTCCCTTTTTTCCTCCCTTCTCTTCCCCCTCTTAGTGGCGCCGGCTCCAGTATTTCCCAACCATCCTGTGGTGTTGGGTCCTCGTTTTGAAGAGACGGTGCCCCGCGTTCCCTCCTCCTCCTCCCGCTGCCCCCTCCCTCCTGCCATCATCATCATCATCATCATCACCATCATCATCGTCATCATCATCATCATCGTCATCATCATCATCATCATCATTGTCATTATCATTATCATCATCATTCCTCTCCTCTCCTCTCCTCTCCTCTCCTCTTCTCCTCTCCTCTTCACCCACCATGTACACTGTTTCGTGGCTCCATAGGGAGCTCCACCGAAGGCCCCAGCGCCCGCGCCCGCATGCGTCACCCACACCGATTTCGGCACACCCCTCACACGTTTCGTGGCTCCACAGGGAGCTCCACCGAAGGCCCCAGTGCCGCGCCCGCATGCGTCACCCACACCCATTTCGGCACACCCCTCACACGTTTCGTGGCTCCATAGGAGCTCCACCGAAGGCCCCAGTACCCGCGCCCGCATGCGTCACCCACACCCATTCGGCACACCCCTCACACGTTTCGTGGCTCCATAGGGAGCTCCACCGAAGGCCCCAGTGCCCGCGCCCGCATGCGTCACCCACACCCATTTCGGCACACCCCTCACACGTTTCGTGGCTCCATAGGGAGCTCCACCGAAGGCCCCAGTGCCCGCGCCCGCATGCGTCACCCACACCCATTTCGGCACACCCCTCACACGTTTCGTGGCTCCATAGGGAGCTCCACCGAAGGCCCCAGTGCCCGCGCCCGCATGCGTCACCCACACCCATTTCGGCACACCCCTCACACGTTTCGTGGCTCCATAGGGAGCTCCACCGAAGGCCCCAGTGCCCGCGCCCGCATGCGTCCCCCACACCCAGCAGTGCCCGCGCCCGCATGCGTCACCCACACCCATTTCGGCACACCCCTCACACGTTTCGTGGCTCCATAGGGAGCTCCACCGAAGGCCCCAGTGCCCGCGCCCGCATGCGTCACCCACACCCATTTCGGCACACCCCTCACACGTTTCGTGGCTGCATAGGGAGCTCCACCGAAGGCCCCAGTGCCCGCGCCCGCATGCGTCACCCACACCCATTTCGGCACACCCCTCACACGTTTCGTGGCTCCATAGGGAGCTCCACCGAAGGCCCCAGTGCCCGCGCCCACATGCGTCACCCACACCCATTTCGGCACACCCCTCACACGTTTCGTGGCCCCATAGGGAGCTCCACCGAAGGCCCCAGTGCCCGCGCCCGCATGCGTCACCCACACCCATTTCGGCACACCCCTCACACGTTTCGTGGCCCCATAGGGAGCTCCACCGAAGGCCCCAGTGGCGGCGCTCACATGCGCATGCGTCCCGCACACCCATTTCGGCACATCCCTGACAGGTTTCGTGGCCCCATCATCCACCGGAGGCCCCAGTGGCGGCGCTCACATGCGTCACCCACACCCACCCAATTCGGCACACCCCTCACACGTTTCGTGGCCCCATAGGGAGCTCCACCGAAGGCCCCAGCGGCCGCGCTCACATGCGTCCCCGCCACCCATCCCGGCACGCCCCTCACAACAACAGGTTTCGTGGCCCCATGGGGAGCTCCACCGAAGGCCCCAGTGGCTGCCGCCCGCATGCGTCACCACCCGCACCCAATTCGGCACACCCCTCACACGTTTCGTGGCCCCATAGGGAGCTGCACCGAAGGCCCCAGTGGCGGCGCTCACATGCGTCCCCGCCACACATCCCAGTACACCCCTCACGCGCTTCGTGGCCCCATAGGGAGCTCCACCGAAGGCCCCAGTAGCGGCGCTTACATGCGTCTCCGCCACCCATCCCGCCCCCCCCCCCGCAGCAGCATCATGTTTCGGGGACCCATAGGGAGCTCCACTGGAGGCCCCAGTGGCGGCCCGCACATGCGTTTCCGCCACCCATGTCGGCACGCCCCGCGCGTGTTTCATGTCCCCATAGGGAGCTTCGCCGAATGTCCCAGTGGCACCCATCTCGGCACACCCCTCACACGTTCCGTAATCCTATGGGGAGTTCCATTGAAGATGAAACCCGCAGCTAAGGTACTGACAACTGCATATGGTTGGGTTCTTCGCCAGGCTAATTTTTTAGTTGCGTTTTAGTTGCGTGTTCTGCCCGCGCGTTTTTCATGGATGCGCGGCTTTCTTGTCTTTGCAACAGTTACG